TTTTCACTACCTTTACGCTTGAACCATTTACGTACATATTGATACTATATTTTCCAGTTTTCGAAAAGAAGAAAATTTGCCTTATAAACTTACTTTAAAATTTGGCAACTGAAACTTACAGAATATTAGTAATCTATCATGGTGACTCGGTCAGAAGTAGTTTCAGATTCTTTGGGATTTCTAGCGGACGTCCATAAAACTCTTTAGATTTGTATTAAGTTGAGCACTTTCTACATTCAATTTGAGAAGTTCGCAGTATTCCTCACTTATGTTGGTTGTGAACGCCGACCAAAGGGTATACAGGTTGGCGGAACAATTTTTTTGAACTTGAGACATATACTCCAAAGTAGGCAAGTTGTAGCTGTGCCTTATCGTCTTCAAGTGTTACGTGCACATGCGACTCCACATAACGCTGTGAAAGTGCAATGACACTGTTGCAATGCAGAAAGCGTACCGGCGGTTCGCGAGTTTTTAAATACCTTTTCTGAGGGTATCATTATCGTTGGAAGTTTTGCCTGCCGTCCGGACGATTTTTCACTTCAACCACTATTGCTTGAATTATCCTTAAGTGCTCAGGAACACAGATTCGTCTATGAGACAGATGCCCCGCGCTTGAAACCTGGGAATTTATTCCAAGGCACTAAAAAGGCGAATTGTCCTATCATGGAAACACTAAGTGTAAGTTCTTATCTATGTGATAGGTTAAAAATGGATTGGACAACTTATACGCAGCGAAAAGAAGAAGTTGTGAAAAACTTTTTTAATTTAGTTGTTTGATTTTTCAAATCTTCTATGTGAATCTGAAGATATCCTGAGTGGAAGAAACGAGAAGTGGATTTTTATGTGTGAAAGTATCTGACTCTCTGTTTTTATGCGTACGTGTCTTTTAGAAATGTTCTTTATTGTTTTAGTGAAAGAATGAAGCCTAAACGGGAAATATAGAAAACTGATCTTGAGATCCCGTGAACGGATGGTGGATAAATAAAAAAAAACCACCCATGTATGACAGATTTTTTTATATGAAAAGCAATAACCTAGCGACGGCCTTTACGAAGGTCTTTCTTCAATATACACTAGCATAATTCTTACTGAATAAACTATCGTAAACTTATCTTGTATTTAGACGTTCTTTTAGCTATGTCTCACTTTTAATGAAGCTGCCGCTTATAAGTTTGACGTAACGTCCAAGAATGCATGAAAGGCAGGACTTTTTCTCAATGGCCGTTACATCATTGAGTTTGGATAGAACATATCAGATTACAAGGTAATTCATCGTCGATTAATATTTACACGTAAGCTTGTTTACTTCAATATTAATGCATTTTTTGCCCTTTTAGACTGTTATCCGATAATTAGAAATTTACCGTTAAATTAATACATTAATAATTTTAATGTAACTCTTATCCATTTCTCTCTGTTGTTGCGTGTGATGAATAAACAATCTTGTTAATCATTATATGACTGAAAGAATGTTCAATCTGAATCTGAATTTTTGAGCTTAGGTCTTGGGAAAACTTGATTTTCCCCAAAGCAAAATGGCTTATAAGATTTAAAAAAATTTTGTCACCCCAGTTTTTCATGCTGAATCGAATGATGTAACTATTAGCAAAATCTATTTTTCGCGATTGACAGGTATTCTTGGTGGGCTCATGGACGCTCTCTTAATACAGCTATATATCAGTACAATAGCATTCGTATTATCTTACGTTATGGATGATACCAGTTTAACACAATCATTGGCTGTGCCTGGTCAACATACCCCTTACTTAAATGCTAATGTTTTAACGCCAAACACTGTGAATGATCATAGTCCAGCAGTTACAACAACACCGGATGATAATCATAGCGAAACTCGTTTTTTTTAAAGAAGCGGATAGCCACATACTGTCATTAAAAGAAAAGTATCGTACAAAAGCAGTTGTCAACAAGCAAACTTTCAATGATATAATGATTACATTAAAATTAGAAAAAGGTAAAAATAGCACCTTGTCAGCGAAGTTTATGCTTTGGTCAAAGAATAATTTTGGTCTAAAAAACATTGCTGGTATTGACATTATTGACATTGTATGTGACAAAAAAAGTGTTAAACCCATTGCACTTTACGAGTCATTTTTTCAAATTATTGGAGAATGTCGCAGTAGAATCTCTCATGGAGGACGGAATAAAACATTAAAAGAAATTCAAGCGAACTATAATTGGACCCCTCATGCTTTTGTTGATATTTTTATGAAACAAGGTGTTGAATGTCAGATACGTAAATCTATTAAAACACCTGTTGTATCTAGACCAATTATTTCTGTAGGAGTGATGGCCAAAGTACAAATAGACTTGGTAGATATGCGAAGTCGTCCTGATGCTGTTAGTAATGATGTTATATATTCATGGATTTTACACTGCAAAGATCACTTTTCGAAATACACCTGGGCCGTTGCATTGAAAGCAAAATCAGCAGAGGAAGTTGTTCTTCATTTGCGAACGATCTTTTTTACATTTGGGCCTTGTCGTATACTACATAGCGACAACGGTAAAGAATTTGTTAACAGTAAATTACAATCCATTTTACGTTTAAGAGTAGCCGAATATTACAATTTAAAAAGGAATTACGTCGTCTCTGGGAGAAATATTATATTTACAAGGGTTCTTCAATGAACAATGTTCAATTGAAAATTGGAACACGTTGCAGTCGATCTTTGGATCAAGTTTTCGTTAAGAAAAAGCCTTCAAAAGCCATGTTAACCAATGTGGAATGGGATGACTCAAAAATTACGAACACGATTCGTCAATGATCTGTTCAACGTTATCGGATTTATACATATTTACAACACGACTATTTCTTTTTTTTATCAAATTTTAATTAGTTATTCGGAAATGTTTACACATTTCATTTATTCACTATTATTCTTCTATGGATACAGTCTTTGTTGTTATTTTTTGTTTCTTTTAGGAATTTATTTTTTATTCTAGATATCTATTACTGTAGCCGCCTTCATTTGACAAAAACATGGTGAAACAAGACAAAACACAAATAATTCGCTGTGAGTATTTCTTATCTATCTACAAAAGTGACTATAATTTCAAGAATAAATGTATCTTAGCATTGAAGAAATTTCTGTAATGAACACTAATAGCAGTCAAATCGGCGGTTCTCCGTCAGAACCATTGGTTTACACTCATGATAACGAAATCAACATTGCTCATTAGATATCTATCGGAATTGTTAATAAGGTGCACATAATGCAAAATTAAGTGGAATTTGTTTTGATTGATTTATATACCATTTGATAGAGCATGAAAAGTTGGTTACAAATATATCATTTTTGAATCGATTGGATTACGTTTTGGCAAACTTGAAAATTGTTTTTCAGAAACTTTCCAGTTTTCTATTATTTGTTTTTCAATAACCTTTTTAAAGGATTATTTCTTTATTCGGCATTGAAAACTGAGTTTAAAAATGTTATTTGATTGAGTTTGAAATACAAGTGTCGTCTGACATGCGTCTCTTGAATAAGATCACCCGAGCACGTTTTTTTAGTATCCATACACAATTTTGTAAACCTTTCTAGTCTTTTCTTTAAAGAGATGGAACCAAGTGTCGTATCTCATTAGAACCGCTATATATTGACCTTCAAACGTACGTATTTTGTTTTTCTAGATTTTATTTCTCCTGCGACAAAATCGTGTAAAAATATGCTCGTCTTTAGATCCTAGTGGATTCGATGCAGTTTTTTCCGCTGATTCTGAATATACTATTCATTTTTCTATATCACGGCAGAACAATGGCGAAAAGATCTAAATACGAGCATATTTTTACACGATTTTGTCGCAGGAGACGAAAAATATCGAAAGAATGCGATTTTATCAAAAATGAAGTAAAATCTAGAAAAACAAAATAGGTAC